CTCTTGGAGGAGAGACGAAACGTTTCATTAGAGAAGAACCTGTCCAGAAGAACTATACTATTTTTTTTTTATTGAGACATCCAAACTTAAAAATCACATCTATTGTAGCACATTTGATTATAATTATGTACAGACTGTTCAAAAACTACTACTTTATATTTTGAGAGTGATGCTAGGTTGACTGTGTTGGATGAAGGGATTCTYTTTATGATATTGTTTTTAATCCTCTGCAGGCATGGACAACCAGACTGTGTTGGCAGTTCAGTCTCTGCTGGATGGTCAGTCAGGAGTTCCTGACCCAAACAACCAAAATGTCTCTGCAGCTCCCACCATCCAGTCAATGGGTATGAAAACTCAATACAGAATAGCATATCATATTAAAGTCACTCACCAGGTTAATTTTGCAATATAAGTAAGTCATTTTTTTTCTTCAGAAGATTCTTATTAGAAAGAAAAGCGCAGTATAAAGATCACATCATACATGACATGCGTAACATCAATGAGAACTGCATTTCTATTTCACATTTCTTCTTACTAGCCAACTAGCAGTTGGAGACTAAATGGATGGCTGGCATGAAAGTTTATATTTTAAGCCATAATTGAAAAAAATAATACAGTGCTTCTGAGAATCGATACAGTATAAGGAAATGAAATATCGCAATATTTCGGCGTATTGATATTTTCTTACACCCCTAATATTCAGAAGTTTTTTTTGTTGTCGTCTTAAGCTGCCAGTAATTACTAGTTGCACCATAAAAATGGTCAATATAATGTAGTTTTAGCATGATAAAAATGTAGAACACTAGAATGTCAATTAGCAAACCTTGCACAACGTGATTACGTCRTTCTGTCCTTTCATTTTCGACGCGATTACCCCTAATTGTCCTGTTGCTCTCCGCTGCAGACGATGAAGACGTGTTCCTGTGTGGGAAGTGYAAAAAACAGTTCAATTCCCTGCCGGCCTTCATGACACACAAGAGGGAGCAGTGTCAGTCTGGGGCCCCCTCCCTGTCCACGGTGTCTCTGGCCTCGACTAACGCCTACGCACCGGTCCCGTCGATCAGCTCCCTGCCACAGACTCCTGCGAACAGACCGGTGAGAACAGAAAATAACGTTTTTRTTTGTCACGTGATCCTGTCTAAAAGCAGCTCCCATGTTTGTGCGTCACTCCTCACATCAGGTGTCCACCTACATCGCAGTCCCGCCTTCCCCTCTGACACACACGCTGGTCCAAGGCAACGTGCTGGTCAGCGACGATGTTCTCATGTCGGCTATCTCAGCCTTTACYTCCATCGACCAGCCGATGGCCGCCATGCAGGCGCCTATACAGGTAAACTTACAGGAAGTGATGTCAGAGAGCAAAACCTTTTTTTTAAAGCAACTCATTGCAACACTTACCTGTGTTGTAGAGCAACCTGAGCATGCACACTGCTGGAGTATCTTATCTTCAGCACCACCACCATCATCATCATCATCATCAGCAGCAGCAGCAGTCGTCCCACCCTCTCCCCTCCAGCCAGACACAAGCCCACCCACTGCCAGCCGGGCAGCCCACTCAGCAGCCGCTCTCCTCCCAGGTCCCAGCGAGCCACAGCAACTCGGTGGTGCAGGTTTACAGCACGATGCCCCACATGGCAGGGGCCGCTGCTGGTGGTGGCGCTGCAGAGATCCACACCGCCTTAGGTCTGCAGGCTTTCCATCATCATCCTGTTCAAGTGAGCGACCCTGGTGATTTCATCATCCATGTAGTAAAAGTGTTGACGCAGTCACGTTCCAGTTTCTGTGTTTGTCTCCTCCTGTCAGTGCGTGGAGAGCCAGTCGTTCACCAACACTCCTGTCTACAGTCCCGAGAAGCAGGGCGCCAAAACAAAGACCTGCAACAGCAGCAGCAACATGACGGAGCTGGGCGACTTCGAAAAGGTCATCATTCCCAAACAACCCAGGGCCAACAAAAAAAGCACCAACGGAGCGACAGGTGAGAGGAAAGAAAAAGAGCTTGTATGTTGAACATATGAAGAGTGCACAACTTGTTAGACAGATATGCCTGTTTGTCTTTTTTTCTTTGTAGAAAAATACTGTGGAAAGTTCATGTTTGTTTGTACATGTTGCAGCAGAAACAGGAACCCTCCTTCATATGGTGCGCTATGAGGCCGACACTGGTAATTGAGAGGCCGTCGCTGGCAAATGAGAAGGAGACTATTCATTTACGTTAGCATCAGAGAGGCTAGCGACTAGCATGGAAAAGCTGGGGTTAGCACTGAAGAGCCTTGCAACTAGGATTCCCAACAAAAATGGTTGACATACAAAACCTAGAAGCGACATGCACTGACAGGTGTTCCTTAGAATGTACTATTCAACTGTTGAACGTGACGTCAAACATAAATATTAAACATTGTTTCTCTCATAATTCGGCTAAAGAGAAAAAAAAATCATAGCTGTCGATCAGTAGATGAGGGCAAACACAGCTGCTAATTCGGGTGGTAACTAATGGTGTCTGCTTCACAGTAATATGTTTTCTGTTTAATATTTATGCTCTATGTCATGTTGAACTGTAAATTCTGTCTCAGGAACACCTGTCAGTGCATGTCACTTATAGGTTTTGTGTGTCAAACGTTTTTGTTGGGAAATTTTTCTTTATTAAAAAAATGTGTCTAATAAAGTAGGTGAGCAGCTTATCCATGCTAATCGCTAGCCCCTTCCTACGCTAATGCMAGCTTATCCATGCTATTAACTAGTTTTTCCAAGGCTAGCGCCAGCTTATCCATGATACTCTCTACCCTAATGCCTGCTTATCCATGCTAGTCTCTACCTCTCCAGTTTAATGCCAACTTCTCCGTGCTAGTCGCTAGCCTATCCAGGGCTAACGCCAGCTTATCCATGCTAGTCGCTAGCCTCTCCAAGGCTAACGCCAGCTTATCCATGCTAGTCGCTAGCCTCTCCAAGGCTAACACAAAGGAATAGTCTCCTCATTTGC